GGGTGGCGCACAGTTGGAGGGGTGCTGCTCCTCCTAGGCCTGGCCTCCTGGTGACGACAGAGCCTAGAGGGATGGGCCTCCGGAGTTTTCAGTCTTGGTGAGAAGACAGCATGGGTTGGACGTTTTCCTTCTCGTACACTTGTCCCTTCTCTTAGCAAGACTGGGAAGGAGGGTAATAGATTTTCCCACAATGCACTTTCCCTAATCCTCTAGGGAAGCAAACCAAAGACTCATTTTTGGAGAAAGCTGCTTTCTGTTTCTCTGTAGCCTCTTTATTCCACACTTGTTTCTGTACTCCCAAGCGCAGGTAGAGAGGAAGATATGGGGAGGAGACAAAGGTAGGGAAGGAGCCGGTAGGAAGGTACCAGAAAGTGTTATTTATAGGATTGTTTTTATTTGAAATTCTGGAGAAGCTTCTATTTTATTTTTGTATTTAAATTTGAAGGACAGTTTCAATAAACATGTCTTCTCCTCAGAGGGATTTCAAAGAAATATAGGAGAGTGAGGCATAAAATACCAAGAAGGTGAGCTGGAAGAAACTACACCAAGAAGTTTGGACTTCAGTTGGCCCACCACCTAGAGCTATTTAGCTGTGGAGTCAAGAGGCAGAATAGGAGGTTCTGACTCAGCCTACTGAGTAGGTTCTGTCACCTACTGAGGGGAACGAGAGGAGCCTTAGACACTGGTACGGCCCCTCCACCCCTGGGGCAGCCTGGCTGAGCCATCTCCCCTTTTGGTTGAATGATTCCTTTCTGCTGTGTTGACAACTCCTGGAGAAGAGAAACAGTCTGGGCATCTGTGCTCTGCCCTGACCTACCCCCCTCCTGTTTACCTGTTGCTGCCACAAGTTCTGCTTCCTTGACCTTTGCTTCCAGTCCTGGGTGGCAAAGGAACTAGCATGTTCAAGAGTCATGGGGGGAACAGGGGGAAGACTTGCTGTTCTCCTTTAAACCAGGGCTGGCCCCAAGTCTCCTCTCTACCCCAACCTCCCAAAAGTCTAAACTAAAAACAATAAACACCTTCCCCTGGATCATACTCTGCAAACAGATGTTCACCTTTTAAATCCAGGTTAACTGGGCACCACCAGGCTGAGTGTAAATCTGTTAGAAAATTCTAGAGGAGGAGTTGGAGGCTGACAGTGTGAAAACTGGAGGTCCATCTGCCACTCTTCTATCACTAAGGCCATTCCTCTTTTCCATCTGGATTCCCTCATCCCAGTACCCCTTCAAGGCAGGGAGAAAAACCCATCACTCTCCACTCCTCTTTTTAATAGTCCAGTACCTCCATCCCCTCAAGTAGCACATTACCTTCTTGCCCTATTCTTTATGGATCCTCCTTGTCCATCCCTGACCCATTGGAGTAATCCAGGCCGCCCCCCCCAGTCAGCAGAGTGAACCAAATCACATCCCTCTGAATGGAATGCAGACCAGCCTCCACCAATCCCAACAATGAACGCCAACCTAACACTTGGTGGTGGCATCCTGTCATTACAATGCTGCTTCCAATCCATGATCTCTGTCCACTGATTCTCTCCTTTCCAGGGTGGTGTCAGGCCATGTCCACACATTCCTGCTCCTGGTCCCCACACACCTGGGCAGCCCTGTACCTCACCAAGGGCCCCCACACATAGCTGCTATTGTAGTGCCTCCCTCAGCCAGCCCTCAGACCAGGCCTAGTCATGCTCTAGCAGCCCCAGCCCCTGCCACAGGGCATCCTACTCCCTCTCCAGAGCCTCCATCCTCTGCAGCTGGAAAATGCAAGAAGCAGAGGCTTGCTCTACATCAGAGCTCTGGACCATGGCCTTTCTTGAAACCTCTGCTTGGGTTCTGTCTGGTCACTGAATGTGAGCCCAGACTGGCCACTGAGGACCTGGAGGGCAAGGGAAAGCAGTGGAAAAGACTTATGAGTCCTCAAAATTGAGTGGCAATGTAGGGGGCAGATCTAGGGAGAGGGGCTGCCCTTGGGTCCTCTTGTTGGACTAATACCCAGAGGAAGAAGCTTTGGGTTGCTGGGTCTTGGTGCTTGTCCCCAGTGGTAGCAGCAGAACCAGTAGGAGCCTGCAGCAGGGGCAGCACACCAGGACCCTGGCTCCCCATGGCTCTGAGGTGGGAGGGATGAAGCCATACCCACTGGTGACCAGGGCTCCCCCTTCCCCCCAGTTGCACCCTCCTACCTAGTCTTTCAGCCTCAGTGCCCTTCCTGCTGTGTCTGTCTGAGGCTGGGGAAAGACCATCTCCCTGGGCTCCTCTGTTTTCCCTCCCATCTGTTTTTGTAAGGTCTGTTGAAGTTGGTTCTCATAAAGTCCCCCTGGGTAGAATCCCCTTCTGTCTTCCTACAGAAGTGTAACTATCTTTTTAAATTGAACTTATTGGGTGACATTGGTTAATAAAATTATACAGGTTTCAGGTGTACAGTTCTACAACATCATCTGTGCACTGTATGGTGTCCCCACCCCAAGTCTCCTGCCATCACCATTTACCCTCCTCCCTCTACCATCTCCTAATGAGGCAGGGCAGGTCTCTCTGGGGACTCCTGCTTGGTGTTCCATCTTTTTTCTACTTTCTTGCTTTGTTTTGGCTGGTCTAAGGAAGCAATAACTTTCTCCAAAATAAACTTTATTCCTAAGATGAAACAAAATTTCCAGGGAAACTGTGAACTCTGGGTCTGAAGAAGATAAAGAAACGAAAAGGGCATGGCAGCCCACTGGGGTATGGGAAGTGGAGGAGGGCTGAGGAAGGACTCTCAGAGGATGGTGGTGGCCGCAGGGAGCACTTCCTGACTCATGAAAATGTCCAGGTCCACATTGGGATCTTCCAAATCCAGTTTCAGAAATTTATCTACTAATGTCTGGCAACTGAGGACAGAAAACAGTGCAGTGTATGAGAGAATGGATTACTGAGTCCTGAGCAGAGGGGAGAGACTGTGGCACAGGAAACCCGGGACCTTGAAAATTTAGGGATTTCAGAAAGAAATAGTGGGTCACTGAAAGGCAAAGAGGCTTTCTGAGTCCCAGAAAAGGGAGAAGAGCTGCAGAAGATGCTGCCACAGGAAACAAGGATCCTGGGTCATACACTCACTTTTCCATTTGCTGCTCCTTTAGCAACTCCTTGACAGGCTGGATGGGTTTTCCACTGCGGATCAAGTCTGAGACCTAGGAACAAAAACGCGGGAAGGGGTGGGGGAACTGGATAAGAAAAGAGGAAAAAAGGGTCAGAAATCCCATGGCTCCAGAAACCCAGGCCCCTGAGAAGAGAAGGGACAGTAGAAGGGAGCCCAGATGGACAGGGTTGGCATCTGGTCTCATCACCTCCTTGCCACGCGCTATGAGCTTGTCAGGAAGCCTGGCTTGGGCAGCTGTGTGAAAGGCATGGCTGGCGTTGGCAACACCTTCACAAACCCGATAGAAGAAGACAAGGTCATTCCCATCTTTACAGGTCTCCATGGTCTTAAAAAATAAAAGAGGACAGTGTGTCATCATCACTCAGCTTCCAGCTCTGAAACCCATGGCCAATCCCTGGGGGAGTGAGGAAAGGAAGGGGCATGGCCCCTGTGTTCAGGGAGCCCGTTCTGATGAAGGAGCCAGTCTCCAGCTCTGCAAAACGCTTGGCTTAGGGACCCGTAGGGGGCTAGATTAGTTTCCTCACCAAATACTGCACAAGGGGCGCCTGTGGCAACAACTGTAGCTGAACGAGGCTCAGAAAGTTGGTGGCCACAAAGATGTGGGGGCACGTGGGTCCAAGTGCCAGCCAGTGTCGGAGCACAGCAGCCAGAAGTGCGAGCCCATCTACCTGTGCAGAGGACAGGGTAAGGGTGCAGACCATGGGTGCCCCATGTGCACCCCTCCACCTGCCCTGGCCTTCCCATCTTGTGCTTTTCTGTTTCTTTTCCACCCACACACCCCTATTCTTTCCCTGAGGCCCAGCCTCCCCTCATGCTCCTTTGCCCTCCTGCATTTTCTCCTTAGTTCCTCATCAGTTTTTCCCCTCACCGTGTTGGTTCCCTTTCCGAATTCATCAATAAGGACCAGAGACTGTTCTGTGGCATTGTTCACTGCTTTTGCCACCTGCTGGTACCAGGTGGACAAAGGAGAGTTTCATTAGCACCCGAGACCTGTAACATACTGACCACAGTCTGCCTGTGAATAAAGCTGCTTGTATATGTGTGCACCCTACTGGACTGCAAATTCTTTAATGGCGAGGTACATGTTTTGTTCACCCTTTCATTGCCTACAGTGCCTCATACAAAGCAAGGGTTCAAAAGAGGTTCCCTAGCCCTGGCTGGTGTGGGTCAGTGGTTAAAGAGTCGAACACGCACCAAAGGGTCGTGGGTACAATTCCCAGTTAAGGGCACGTACCTGGGTTGCAGGTTCAATTCCCAGCCCTGGTTGGGGGGGGGGGCATGCAGGAGGCAACCAATTGATGTGTCTCTCTCACATTGATGTTTCTCCCCCCTCTCTAAAAATCAATGGAAAAATATTCTCTGGTGAAGATTAATAAAAAATAAAGAAGAGGTTCCCTAGTGTAGAGGGCAGGCAGCAGAAGGAATGTTTTTTCTGTTCTGATAATTTTTCAAGGGTACAGTTCCTTCCCCATCCCCCCCCCCAATCCCACCTCTCTGTTCCCTTTGACCTGGTTGAGGTCGATCATGAAAGTGGAGAGGCCAAGAGAGATGGATTCACAGCTATGAATACGGGTGAAGATGGCGTCTACTGCCCCAATTTCAGCTTCCTCTGCTGGCACAAAGCTGCCCACCAAGGCCATGAATGTGATCAAGCCCACCTGAGCAGAGAAGGAGACCGAGTCTGGGGCCTGCCTGGTGGTAGGGGCTGAGGCTAAACTGAGGAGTGAATGATAGATTAAGGAGAGATGGACACAGTTTAATAGAAGATCAAAGCCCCTTCCATTCACTTTAGAATCAGTAGAGAGGGGCAGGGAGTGGGCAGAGGCACAATGAGGAATGGTGTGAACCTATTCAGAGGCGGGGGAAGGGAACTGAGGCCATGGAAGCTCTATTAGGGCATGGCTCTCTCTCAAGTGGAGAATGGAACATTAGGTAGAAGAGCAGGGTGTCGGTTATGATGTCTTCATAACAGGCAGGGTCAGAACACAGCAGGAGAACTGCAGGGACCTGGGTTGGCTGGCAGGTGGGGATGAGATGATGGAGAAGATGCCAGAGGCCCAGTGTGCAGGGTTCTCCTACCTGTTTGAGGTATATGCTCTTCCCTGAGGAGTTGGGTCCAGTGATGACTTTGACCCTCCCTTTGTCCCCACTGCACTCTGTGGAGTTGGGCACGAAGGTTCGGGCACAGAGTTCCATCAGAGGATGTCTGCAGTGGGTGGAGAGGTACCTCACACATCGCCTAGATGGGTGAAGCCCCCAGAATATGGGGCCTTCAGGCCCCTCGTGCCTATGCCTCCACCCCCTCCTGTTCTCACCTGCCATTCTGGATTCGTACCCCAAGGAGTTGGGGGGAGTAACGGGGCCTTGAGTAGCTATAGTCCCGGGCAGCACTGGCAAGAGCCAGCAGGACGTCCAGGCGGGAGGCAAGGTCTAACACCCGGGTCAAGACAGCCGCCCGCGCCAGCACCTGACACTGCAGCTGGTACATCAGCAGGGTCTCCTGGTCTGCTGGTAGGTGAGGGTGGAGCTGGGAGTCAGCTCCAGGGGAATGTGAATGAAAGACAAAGAAGCCAACAGAGGGACCTGGAAACTAGCTTGAAGATACAGTGAGACACCCAGAGACATTCAGAGGAGAGGATGTGGAGTCAGAGTGAAAGAGAGAGCAGGAAGGAAAGGAGCCCGTTGGAGTCCTCTCCCTTCCAGCCTTTTGCTCCTCCTCACCGCGGATGTCGCAGTGCAGGTCCCCCAGCAACGTATCCAGCTCCCTGGTTCGAGTGCTGCGGTAGTGCAGCTTCTCCTCCGAGAGAAACTGGGTAGGAGAGTTCAAGCTGTGGGCTTTGCACCTCTTGGTCCTCACCCTCTCCCACACTTCCAACCCCCTGAACGCCCCCCGACTTATCTCTCCTTCATCTTAGAGCTAATACAGATCAAAGTAAAACTACAGAAGAGAGGCCCCATACTGGGTAGTGCTGATGGGGTAAGGCCCGCTGACAGCTGCTGATTCGGTTTCCTGTCACCTCCCTACAGAGGTCGAGGGTCTTACCATGAAGTCCAGTCCCTCAATCTCAAAGTCACTGGCCTCCACCATGGAAGGCAGGCGTGGAACAGAAAGAAGGAAGCCGATCTGGGGAGAGTAAAGAGGAGATGCAGCAGAGCGTGATGTACGTACTGGGCACTTTCTCTCCCTAGAGGAAGCCAGAGTCCCTTGTATCCCCAATACTTCCCTCAGGGGCCTAGAGCTACCACAAGGTGTTCATGTTCTTCAGACTTCTCCAGAAGTTTTCGTATCTACCAATGTGTCCTTCATAAGCCTACTATCTCCCCCAAAGGCCCCTAGAGGTTACACCCAGCTTGCTGCCCTCACCAGAGGGATATAGATGACACTGCATGAAGGAATGCGCGAGTCCAGATTCTCCAGCTCCTTCCGAGCGACCTCAGTGAGGAAACTGGGAAGCCCCACCAGCCTTCGTTTTTCTAGGAAGGTGGAAGACATGTGGCTATCAAAAGTAAGGTTCCTGCCCTGGTTGCCGTGATTATCCCCGGTTGTAGTGGTCACCTACCAAGGATGGCATCCCATCACTGTGCAGGCTTGTGTTTCAGGGCTCACAGGCCCTTCCCCACACCCAGTACTCACTCTCATCAATTTCAGGATCTATGTTGGGGAGGACTGTGAAGCGATTTGCAGCAAGACTGCCCTCAAAGTCCACCTGAGGAGGCAAGAAGTCCAGTTGCTTATCAGCTAGCACCATCTCTCAGTCCTGTTGCTCACCTCTACCTGGGCCCCAATTCTCCCTGCAGTCCCTGATTTAACCCTAACCCTCCAAGCACATCCCTAATGTTCTGCCACCATTCCATGGTGAATGGTGAATGTCCTTTCACCACTCCATTCTTTAGTCATTCAACTGAGCTCAATGTCTCCCAGGACTTTCCCATCTTCCACACCACATCTCTTGCCTCTAGTTCCCCAGAGGTTTGGCCTTCTTCCTTCCACTCACCACTTTCCCAATGAGGCTGGCAATGTGGTGCAAGTCATCAGAGAACTCATGGGCAATGTCCCGAAAGAGCTGGATGGACTGGGGCAGGGAGCGACAGGCATCCCTCAGGCCCAGGGCACTGTACACAGTCTGTAGGAGAAATGGACAGAGGAGGGTGGCCCACACCCAGCCCCAGCTGGAGTGAGGGGACAGGGATGGACTGAGAACAAAGGCCAACAAAGAAAAACACAATAACAAAGACAGAGAGAAGATCTCAAAGGCAAAATGAAATAGCGAGGGGAAAAATGT